GGGGGGGGGGGGGGGGGGGGGGGGGTTTGATTGGAAGAAAAAGAAAATTAGATTATTGAATCCTTTTAAATTTTAAGTCTATTTACCAGCCTCCTTGTTTGAAATAAGAAAAGAAAATATATAATGTAGAATTTTTACACATCAAATTAAAATCTACCGACGGTTTAATTACTGCGCATAGACAATAAGAAGTTACACAGTAATATTTTATTGCAATAATTAATGATTTTGGGCCAAGTTTTCTTTATTAAGAAATTGTGTATCATAATAAAATCAAGATTGATAACCTTGAACATGGGATTGGATTATATAGAAATGGGCATGCAAGAGATATATTTATTAATGGTATTGGAAATGCAGGGAGTTGCTGGGCATTTTCAACTATTGCTTCTGTAGAAGGAATAAACCATATTAAGACAGGTGAATTGGTGTCTTTATCGGAGCAAGAACTGGTTGACTGTGATAGATCATATAACGAAGGCTGTGACGGAGGCCTTATGGACTATGCATTCGATTTCATAATAAGAAATGGTGGCATTGACACTGAAGAAGATTATCCTTATAAAGGCTACGATGACAAATGTGACCAATACAGGGTAGATATTGGCACTGAAGAAGATTATCCTTATAATTTTTGTTATGACAAAGTTAAATACCATTTAATTGATTTACTACTTTTGTTGTCTGTCTGTGCAGAAAAATGCCAGGGTTGTGTCCATTGATAGTTATGAAGACGTAGCTCCATATAACGAAAAGGCACTAAAGAAGGCGGTTGCAAATCAACCAGTGAGCATTTCTATGGAAGGTTCAGGGATCGACTTCCAGTTATATGAATCGGTATATCACTTTCTCTTTTCTTGCAAGTTGCAACTAATCATAGTTTTTTTTAAAAATATTCTCTTTTGATCAAATCTCTCCAGGGCATATTCACTGGAAAGTGTGGCACTTCTTTAGACCATGGTGTGAATGCTGTCGGATATGGCACCGAAGATGGTCTTGATTACTGGATTATTAGAAACTCGTGGGGTGAATATTGGGGAGAAAAGGGCTACATCAGGATGCAGCGTAATGTGGCTGCCAAATCCGGTCTATGTGGAATAGCCATGGAGCCATCTTACCCAATCAAGACTAGCAAAAATCCACCAAACCCAGGTCCGTCTCCTCCATCTCCATCCAAGCCTGACAATATTTGTGATGAGTTTTCTGTATGCCCCGAGAGCGATACTTGCTGCTGTCTCGAGGAATTACTTGGCTCGTGCTTTATCTGGGGATGCTGCCCTCTCGAGGGTGCCACATGTTGTGAAGACAATGCCAGTTGCTGTCCTCATAGGTACCCTGTGTGTCACATATCTTCAGGAACCTGTTCACTGGTAAGAAGTAAATTGAATCTCAAATATTGAGCTTGTTACTTAATTGGTCATGCGTTTACTTTCCAACTCGTGATAATGCAGAGCAAGGGCAACCCGTTTGGAGTGAAGGCACTGATGCGTGTTCGTGCACAGCGAATTGGAACCTCTCGCAGTATTGAGGGAAGAACAGCAGTTCTTGAAGAAACATCGTAGATCTTAACCTAGCGGATGAGATAGGAAAGTGCTTCACTGCAATCTCTATCCCATATTTCACCCGTTGGGTCGACAAGGTCGCAGCATAATGATATCTAGTATCTTTTTATCTATAATTCTAGTACTTTGATTTAGCAACAAAAACAGGGCTATTGTTTCTTCACTGCCCAGTGTAGTAGTTTATATTTCGTTTACGCTTGATGTTGGTGGTTTAGCACATTTCTTACTCGTCTTTGTAATTTCGTATGTGATAAATGGCTTGATTTCCGCTAGTATCGATCAGCTTGAATGAACACTGGAATTTGGTTGGTTTGAATAGTGGTAATCAGGAAACAAACCGAGTTCACTTGCAGCATATACAAATGTAATTTAACAGCATTTACAATAAACTAGAACCGAGTAGGATGTATATCACAAGGTAGAGTACTACACAAGAAATTGCGGTACACCATTGAACTTTCTTATCTATAATCTTGGAAAATAATACTGGGAGCTTTATCAGTAATGAACTACAGAATCAATTACTGATGCCCACCATTGAATGCTTCAAGAATCCTAATACAACACCTTTAAATCAACCTGCAAACCTAAAAGATGAAGTTATCTTCTGAATGAAATGTGCTAATTAAGCTGAAACCTTAAGGCATGGAAGTGCTCAAGTCATCAGTGAAAGCTGTCTTCTTCCCAGAGTAACGCTGGACAAAAAGTTGAACATTTTAGTCACTTTAAATTGATTATGTAAGAAAATGCCAAACATAACGACAGGTGTATTGTGAAAACTGTTCAAATACCTGCTTCCCAAAAGTGAATGGAACATATTTATATTTGATCATGTGCAGTATTTGCCTCTTCATTGTTGATACGAACAGCACCAACCAGTAGAACAATAGAATTGGCCAAAACACAGGTACATCAAAGGCACCGAAGAAGGTCAGCACAAAGGCAAAGCAGAATGCCTTTGTAAGTGAATGCCTGACGTCGGAAGTATCAAAATTAGACCGTCTATATCCAGCTCAAGGTTAAAATTTCACGTGGGTTGGGAAGTAGCAAATAATTGACATAGAGGGGAACATATAATCTCGTCAAACTCCCCCAAATTAATAAACGAAAGAGACGAAGTTTACTTTTCATGTTGACAAACCATCAAACGGTAAATAGACCCGTAACTCCATGAAAAAGTTTCTTCTCTGGATAAATTTAAAAGAGAGAGAGATATTCCAATAATGTTGTAATTAGAGATAATAATTATCAAATCAGTACACACTCTAATGGGATGTGTTTGACTCCAAAGGTACTGATGATATCTATTATACCCTAAAGTAGGATAGACAGTTAAGGGCCCAGAAGATGTTCAGCATAACACCAAGGCAGTAAGCTCTACAAAGCTAGATCAGCTCAAAAGATGTACCTTGGCGCTTGTAGACTTCACAGTTGTGTTAAGACAATAGCGTGTGAAGTATTCATGCTCAGTTGGATAAGTCCCAACGACGATAGGAAATCTCATTTGAAGTTCCAAGATGGTTTAACAAGCAGGATCAACGGGGATACATGTCCTCTCCCCTATCTACTACTCCTATTGGTAACCTCAAAAGGCTATTCACCTGGGAGTTAACACACTCTCTTTTAAACTGTATACGGACACAAAAAACTCCATGACGTGTTCTTATACTCTAATAGGGGAGACCACAGTCTCACCTGATTGTCTAAGACGCTGAATCGAATTGACAACCCTTCATCATCTGATCCACCTAAGGACCTAGTTCGCCAGGTGGCACGCATGAAGAGTAGTGCAATGCATACTCACCAGAAACAGTTATGCACTGCAAGCATATCTTTGAGTGCACCCTTAAATCCGAACAGTTTTAAAAAGAATTAAGTGAAAACATCATGATTTAATCTCGTTGACACGAACTCAAGTTAGCACCTCCTAAACAATATCACTGTATACAAAATTTTATCTGGATAGATCTGTTCACATGCTCTTCCCAATTAAACATTAACAAGGATACCAGCAACTGCAAGTCCATACAAGCACCTGCATCTATGTCAGTAGTCTCACTTGGAGAACAACACATCAAGTGCTAAGCGTAAAAATATGTGAACTTAAGTACCCTAGCCTAACATAAATATATTCATGCTTATGCAAGTTGAATAATATCTTTTTCAAAAAATAGTGGTGTACATTAATAAATAAAACATCAACACATGTTATCTTCAAATCAAAAAGTCAGATGTCAACAAGTCATGAAATCCTTTCAGAATGACAACGTATTAATAATATCCCAGCCATAATGGAGGACACACTGTACATTCAGCAATAAAAATAATCTGACTACAATGTATTAAGACTTGAATTGATCATAGAATTACAACGTATTAATAATATCCCAGCCATAATGGATGACAAACTGTACATTCAGCAATAAAAATAATCTGACTACAATGTATTAAGACTTGAATTGATCATAGTGATGTATTAGTAAAAGGAAGGAGTACCTAACAGGGAGCTAGGAACACATTGAAATATCAAGAAAACACAAATTTACCTATCGCCCGTCATATGCTCCAAAATTTCTTTTCATTTTTCCATTTTTCCTTTTTATCTCTTTGGTTGGAGGGTGGGGACTCAAAACGTTCAAATCACACAAAAAATTCAAAATCATACAAACTCTTAAACCATTAACAGAGACGAAAAAACGATCAATTTCCCACGATTCTATTATTCCATTATAATCATATAAAACACGTGAACAATTAAATCCCAACCTAACCAGTCTAAATCTTAAATAGATCAAGAAAGACACCTTACCAGAACTTAAACTCGGGGAGGCGACGGACAAACGGGCGGAACTCATCGGAGCCCCGGGTTGGGAGGTTAGGTCCATCCCTGATATCCTGGATCTCAGGGTCGACATTCGGGGATAGGAATGCTATAAGCAGCTGCAGGATATAGATGCCCAGTCCGTACGTTATGATATAGTAACCCTGCACCATATACACACGCAAGGCATAGATCAAAGTGATGACCGACAGGAATATCCAACGGTACATCACCAACGGCGTCGATTTGTCCAATAAATGCTGGTAGCGCCTCCACATGGCGTGGGTGTATCGTGTCACTGCGGAGGTAGGATTGTCGCCGGCTCCGCCACCCACATCCATGTTTTACTATTTTATTTTTTGTTTATGTCTTGGTTGCGGGTAAGAAGAAAGTATTACAAAGAGTAAATAAATGCCCCTCCCTCGTTCTGTATGGTTCGTTAAGCGAACGAACGGTAGCCAGTCGATGATGTGATAAATGGTAATTGATGCAAACAGCACTAATTAAGTTACTAAAAATATTTTTAGCTACTCTCTCTTAAAGTTAGCATACTATATATATACTATGCATTTAATTTTACTTTCTTCATACAAATATTTATGATGCATAACAAGTGTAAATTTCTAAAAATATGTTTTATGTAAATGAATAAATATTGCACATTTTAAGAAACTTCTACAAATCCCTTGTGCGAACGTTGAGGTCCCGTGTCTTGGGCAGCCTTCTCTCCTAGCTTAGGTTCGACAAGCTCGAAACAATTGATATTGCATGATGACACTATTAGTGCACTATATGGCATTATAGGCCATTACGCTTAGTTGTTGGTAACATTTTCGTGCCACATGGAGAGGAGAATGCACTTCATTTTCAATTCGATAATGTCCTCGTAACGGTAAATGACCTTTGTATCGTCACAAGACTTCTCATTGCAAGAATTTTAACAATTGCGGCAACATCCCCTGATGGACAGCCATCAACATAGTGCCCCTTCGAACATTTGCCCGCAGTACCTCTATATATACCGCCTTCAACACCAATCTTTACTCTATGCCCTTCAAGCATAGTTCATCGGATGGACATTCTCTGTCGTGGCACCACTGCGCATGTCAAAGCACCAACACAAAATGTAAATCATTGTGATTTCCTCTTCAATGTTTACTGTGATCTACGACACAAACTAACAAAGCACATAAGCTCATTTGCACAATGCTTACCTTTATCATCTATCATCCTGAAAGCTTTTTTCATCAGTTTTGCTTGCTTGTCGATTCATTTGGCAAATATGCCATGGTCCCAAAATCATTTTCACAAGAACGCATGTCGATCATCTCCCACAATCAACGACGCATGTTCAAGCAAGCACACTGTGCTACCAACTTTCACGAAACGTCCATGCGGTTCTTGAGGTCACGCACCCAGGGCAGCCTTCTCCCCATGCTCAGGTCTATATGCACGCAAGCTTAAAGGCAAGATGCTGCACAATACTTGCATATAATAACAACATCAATGCACTTAAACCATACGTCTAGATGTTGACGGCCTTACCGTGTCACATGGGAGTGGAATACACTCCGTATGTGACACTTTGCATGGACGCATTCAATTTTACTTTCTTTGTACAAATATTTATGATGCATGACAAGTGATTTCTAAAAAAATATATTTATAATGTGCAAAGAATAAGTAATACACATTTTAAGAATAGAAAATCATCCTCGTCCAATCCAAATAATTAAAAGCATAAAACAACTAATACCAACATATTTAACGTTGAATCAAAATCCGTAACTCGAACCAACCTGTATCTGGTCAGGTTTCCGAGTTATTGATTTAAGTGACCGGTCCTACTAGCGAGTATTTTTCTTAAACTGCTGTTGCATTCGTAGTATTCCTTTTTGAACTCTTGACGTTCTGAGTTCAACAACTTAAAAACTGTTGATTTAAACTATGTCAATCTAAACTGTATCTTTTTCCATACTCGTTTATTTGTTCAAATTGCGAAAAAAACATTAAATTCCTTGTCCCTGTTCCAAGTCAACTTGTAGCCTGCAAAATAATTGCTGTGCTTGGTAGAAATTAGTCTTAAAGCAGCTGTATTTTGGATTCAATTGACCAACGAGTTCAGATGAATGCAAAAGCTTATAAGAAGCTGCAAAACTATTAGAAGTTGACTTTAAACATCGTGTACAGATGTGCTTAACTACTAATTCTAGACATACGCCTCGTGATTAGAAATTTAATTGTAGATCTATCGAGTTTTGAGGTTTTGTTTAAAAAGATCAATCTTGTTATAGGTAGTATAAATGTTCGTGCGTCCATTACTATTTTCATAATTCAGCGACGTAAATTTCACTCTCGACTTCTCCCTTCATTTCTCTTTGTCGTGACGATATATCCCATTTTTATTTTTATTTTTTTTGTATTCATCGGATGAGTAGATAAAACAGCGTTGATGATATCAAATAATGCAAAGTCGTGTTCTCGTTTGGATGCATATGATTATTGACAAGTTGACGATATACAATAATTATTTGACTTTTTCATGAGACTATCAATCCGCGGGGAATACAATTTTCCTTCTTATTTTATGTGTTTTAAGGCAATTGATGACTGTGTTATTTCAAAGTCAACCCTCTA